GGAGCGATTCACAAAGCAATGTTTGTTGGCTGCAGAATCTGCGTATGTTGGTACGTCTCATTCTCCAGAGGTGGTTGTAACCGCTAATGTGCGACTAGCCACATCTGAGATGAGCGCAAACGTGATTTCAGAGGTGGGTGAGGTGTCTGTCAGCGCCGCCGTGACTGACGAAGTATTAGCATTGTTGGTGGCACCCTGGGGTGTTGAGGTACGCGCTCCCCCGCGCTGTCCGAAACCCGAGGGGAATTGTCCCTCCTTTCCTCCTCCACGCCAGTAGCAGTTGGTGATGAGGTGACCACGACGTCCACAGTTTGGGTTGGCGCACAGTAACTGATTGCGCGCCTTCCTTGCATCAACCTGGAGTGCTGTAACGACGGTGGCTGGATTGGCGACTGACCTAGAACGGTCAATACGGTTCCAATGGATCATCAGGCGACTGATGACATCCGCGGATGACTTGGATTCGTAGAGCGTTCCAACGACGCTGTCCCAGGATTCGGGAAGCGACGACAAGACGATCATGCGGAAGTCAGCGTCACTGATCTTCGCACCCGAATTGTTGGTCATCGCCCATTTGGTGCGCAGATTGGAGATGTGCGTCGGGAAGTCATTTCCGTCAGTGAAGACGGTATTGCGGAGGTCGCGTTGGGTGGTGACGATGGCGAGGTCGGAGGAAATTTTGTACTGGGAGGTAAGTGACTTCCATGCTTCAGCGGCAGTACCATCGAGCTTGAGACCGAGCCCGATAGCATTTTTTGTGTTATAGAGAAGCAGTGCGCGTGCCCAAGCATCGCGCATTGCCCATTCTGCACCAGAAGGGGTAGTAGAGTACCACGGGGTAGGATCGTCAGGAAGTGGGACGTTTGGCATCGTCGGCGTGTAGTTCAGAGTCGTAGGGTTTGGATAGGGAGCCGGATTGGGAATGGTTCCCTGTAAGTATCCTAGGACGCCACGGCTACTAGCCGCAATAATGACAAGCGTCTCGAAGGTGGCGAAATTTGTCCCATTGAATTTTTCTTCTTCTGAGAAAGTAGGGGGGTTTGCCGACGACGACATATTTTTTTGTGTGTGTGGGAAGTGGGCTCTATGAGTCGCAAGTAAGGTGATAGAGCAAGTAGGTGTCTGTTTTCTTCTAATTAGAGCGCAACGGGGCCCATAACCTGTTAACGTACGAAGAGCTCAGAGTCAGACACAATGGTGGTGACGACTGTATTGTCTAGTTACCTGTTAACGTACGAAGAGCTAGGTACAGGTAACGTCAGTGTCAAGTAGGTAAACATAAGTAGGAATAATCTCACCTCAGAGTCAGACACAATGGTGGTGACGACTGAGGTGGAGGGAAATAAGGTTTTCATATATATAGGAAAATTCGGGTGGCTTGGGTAAAGACTAGCAAATACCGGAAGTATATGTAGAAAAGGGAGAATGAATAGGAGGGATAAATAAAGCGTACGCGTAAACATTGAGGTCACGAGATGTCTCCCTCAACACTTGTTCCATTAACTTCAACTTGACTTCCTCTTGAGTGTCAGAGTCCCATTTTTGCAAGTCAGAGTCATTCTGAAGCTGATAGTCAAGATAGGCTACAAGATCATGATTCTCAGATTCCTCAACCAAGTCAATATAACAAGAAGACTTGAACTTGTCCTCAATCTCCTGTTCTGGACGGCTAGTAACTAACAAGTGGAGTCCAAGATTTTTATCTTTCTCAAGAATAAAAGTCTGAATCCAGTTAAGAAGCTTTTCTCTTTCAGTACATTCATCAAGAGCATCCAGAATGATGAAAGTTGAACTAAAGCCATCAAGAATTGCTTGAAGAGTATTCTGCAGATCACCCAGAGTTGGCTCTTTATGACCATTGCCACAGTGAGCATACAGATTCACTAAGACCTTAGGCACTCCACCCTCACATTTCAGAGAGAACTGCCAGATGAGTGATCGCAGTAATTTATCATGCAGCTGGAAATCCTTCTGTGAGTCTCTGCCATCAAAAAAGAAATATGCAGTGGCAGCATTGAATCTTCGGAAAATATTGTGAATTATTGCTGAGCTGTAAAGAAAAATCAATTTTATTTCATGAAAAATATTAAGATAATCAACCTCAAAATAGTTTTCCCAGAGCCAGCTAGATAGACTGTCAATAATGTATAAATTTACAACTGTTGACAGAAAACTTACATTTTCCTTTGATCCAGAGAAAGCCAGGCTGTTTGAGCCACCCATAAAATGTATTTCCATTGAGAAACCATTGACAAGTGTCTGGTTGACTCTCCAGAATTTCATGTGCAGCATTGTAGTTAACAGACTCCTTAGGTGGAGAAAGCCACTGATAAATCTCATTCACTGTGTCAAAGATGTAAGTTCAATTACACATTTGAAGTAAGAACCTGCAATAATACCCAGTTGCTTATCCCCAAACATCTCAAGTTTTATTTGAATATTTGGGTTAACACCTACTGATAACAAACAACATTAAGATGAATATAATATTTGTCTTGTTACTTACCTTGATTGATGGTACCTATTAAAATATAAGTGAAGGCAATAAAATCTGATAATCCAAATGCAACAAACCATAGTTAGGGCCTGTATTCACATTTTGAACTGGGGCTGAAATGTTGTTTATAATGTTAGCTTGTAAGTTTGTTGAGGACTCTGCATGGTCTGTCTAATTTGAGCAAGCCTGAACTATATCTATAAGAGTACTGACTGGTAGGCATCAGTTCTGCATTTTTAACAGAAGGAATGGATAGAGAGATAGGCAGGTCAGAACTTGGAAAATCTAAACAGTGTTATCAGAAATAGAATATAGAGATTTGAAGCAAGCATGAACCTGTCAAGATAGGAGAAGGGTGTTGCAAGGAATCAACAGCTCCTTGCATGGGACCTTCAATCTGATCAACTGTGAGATAAGAAATGATGAAGGTTAGTACGAACTTTACAGCAAACAGAGTGAGGGGTATCTCACAGGCAACAGTCATTCCAGGAACAGGGGTGATTGATGGAGTGGTAGGCAGGTAAGAACTCAGGATATCTATATTAGTGTTACCAATGATGAATGACAGAGGTTTGGGGTTAATGCAGACCAGTGGAGATAGGTAAAACTTGTTGCAAGCACTCAAGCACTCCACCCGCAGAGACATCAACCTGATCACCTGGAAATTTGAATTGATGAGCAATCAATGCTCACTTCGATGCAGGAAGATTAAAATGTATCTTACTGTTGACTGCCATGGCTACGTCCGCTGCACTGATGGTTGAAGATGGAGTTATCAAGATGGGCGGGGCGGAGCTGGGGCTGACGGATTCACGTTAATATTTATCTAGTAGCCCGAGATCATGAACCCTAACGTCAAACCACCATAGCGTTTATTACGTGGGTGGTCAGCGATCGTGTCTTCAACGGGCAATTCCTCGAGCTTGCGTTTCAAACGAGTTTCGCGTGGGTCAATGGGATCAGACATGGTGGTTCAGAAGAGAGAATCGATGCTGTGCGGCATCAATCTTCAAAATGGGTAACGGACCGTTTCACAGAGTCAGAGGCTGACATTCCTGATTGAGGTACAGTGGTTCGCCGTCAAGTCAGGCCACAAGGATGGCGGTCAACGGAGAAGTGTGTCAGAGAAGCAAAACGACGACCACCTCTCAAGACTGAAGGAAATTGAAACTCAAAGGGACGAACGAACTCGAACGAAAGGCAGATGCGTGGTCACGGTCGTGCTTGTTCTGTGTAGCTGTGCGAAAGACGACCTTTCCTTCCACCAGGAGAGATACCTTGCGACCCACTTATGGGTCCTCCTACTTATTGTTGTCAGGTGAATGTTGTCTTTGTTCGGCCAGCTTCTAGTCTCGAAGTTCCCTCACGAACCCCCCTCGTCGAATGGAGTTTCATGACGAGTCATCCAAAGATACCTTTCTGGGTCGTTCAACTACTGCCGACATCGCCTGGAGACCCGACCTCGCTGTGATCAAAATTCAACCCGATGACCGCTTCCGCCAACGTACCGATAGAGAGAGCGGGGAGCTGTTGAGATTCAAAGGATGCGTTACCCGGGCTTCATTGCCAGCTCTGAGTGAGTTCCTCCTCCCGTTAGATTTGCTCCCCTTTCTGCCTAAGCTCGTTTACCCTTCTGTCATGAAACCATACCCCCTCTCTTCTTTCGTCTGCCCACGTTACTCTAATGCGAAGACAATTCTATGACAGTTTCGGTCCTCTTGATTTCGTTTACGAGCGCCATGCTTGTAAAGCGCACAGCGCACAAGACCGCAAACCACAGATTTCTACTGGTACGACAACTGAAATCTTGAAATCGGGAAGTTACTGGATGCTTACGCTATCAACAGGACTGTTTACGGATCCTTGGAGTCTGGACTCCCACCCGGCAACGCTCGAAGCTATTTTGCATAACACGGGGGAGACTTCGCTAGGTGAAGTAAATCGTCAGTATTTCTTTCCTACGAAGTCGACAACGCCTTCTCTAAACAGCCTTTCCACTGCAGATGTGGCGGGCGTTTGCCCAGCTTGACGACGGTAATACCCTCTCGAAAAGCTCCACACGGCATGCTAGGTTACTGCCGTCCACCTGATCATAAGCGCAAGCTTCAGTCGGAAAGCTTCGGAGAGCTGGAGATTGGGGATAACGGCCATATCTCCTTTGGTAAGCTATCGCCCTTGCGTTATTTATTCATTCGTACTCTCATTCCTCCCTCGATCTCTGGATGCCTTTTCACCTCGCATACTGTACTATTTCGACCAAGTGTTCACGATTTTGGGAAATTTTTCACACCGAGATGGCCGAAATTTTTTCTTTTGATTTAAGACGAATAAAAAAAAATAGTTTTTTTGTCGATGTGACGTGTGACGTGAACACTTGGTCGAAATAGTACAGTATGTTCGATCTTTCGCTTGCTAACTGCCCCCCTTCGTTACTCAGGTCCTGGTTATATAACACCAACGCAAGCCCCACTTCGATGATCCTACCGTCTTTCCTAGGTCCACCATGACCCCCACGACCCGGCAACTGAGTCTGCATCCCGTCGTGCATCGACTCACGAAGGAAATTTCGTTTAATCCTTCTAACGAACCCGCCTCCATACCAAGCCCGCTCATCCAACAACAACTCTTTGCCATTGGCCGTAGGCAGACCTCTCACACGCATCAATCGTCTCATCGGTTGGGGCCACCTGCTCCGCTATCCTGTCATTCTCCTCTGCCAAAGCTCACCCAGCGCTCAGATCTTCTCGGTAACCTCATTCCCGACGCTGTATTCGTCGTTACGTACATGGTATACGTACCACCCAGTGGCCCACTCTCTGCCTTTACCACAAGAATTCGTTGTCTCTGGGCTCAACGTTCACACAGTGTAGATTGTCCGTCTTGTGTATCCATCCGCAGCTCGTCGCCACCATGCTACCGTAACGTCACACATACGCATCACTGATTGGGCTCTTGTAAGTTTGGATTAGGCGCGGCCGACGACGATGGTTATTGACACCTGCCTTCTTTTCCAATAGTTCTACTGCCAATAAGGAACTACTGAGGGCAAAGGCCTAGGGCGAGAAACACCAAACTCATTAGGGTCCTCGTCTCTTCTCGCGTGGACACCGACCTCTATGGCGGATGGGGGGCGTGGCTATTGCACATAGGTCAGTGATACTTGACTGCTTCGCATGTGTCGGGTTAGTACTCACAGCAAGCGTGTATAGCTTTGTTTGGGGTGCGTATGTATGCTGTGCTTTTGCCCCAGGGGAAGGAGGGAGAGGGCTCCAAGCTTCAGTCTCTGTTCAGCTGATCGAAAGAACACCCTCAAGCTTGAACGTCGGCAAAGTCGAGACGTTTGATTATATTGCTTACAATGGGAATCGTAACATTACAACCCTGACTCTGTAGCTTGACCAATTCGTGTTGGGATACTACCCATGTCAATGTTATCTCCCAAAACATGAACGGCCACTCGTTAACTTTCTACTTTCACAAGTTCCACAACGACGATGACTGGTATCAAGTAAAAACTGGGTAGGCATTCGGCAAATGGTACACTTATTTGAGGAATGTCGGACGATTACATTGCACTACCTCTCAATTTACACACGAGCACAGGCTGTTGTAAATGTAAGAAGTCACGACTACTTTTCTTTTGCCTGCAGAATTCACAGCAAAGGACGCAAACATGACAGTTCTGGCGTTGAAGATGCCAAGGGCCGGGAATGCGGGATACCGCGAGAGGTGCAGGCGAAGAACTGGGCTTACGGTCGTACTGGCTGACTAAAAGTGATTGGAAGGGGTGTATATGCGACCTACGTCGGTGTCATGGAGCAGGGATGGGTAGAGGTAGGTGTTAGGAGATCTCGAAGCGCGGAGAGAAGATTGCGAGGATGAAGTTTGTGAGCAGCAGCTCCGCTCCCATTCTGCCTTTGAGCAACGAACGCAAGTGGGCTGGTAAATCCACATTTGAGGGGGGCTACAACTCGCTCATACGAGCAGATAGTCCCCTATGCAACTCATGATCCTCAGTCAACGTATGATCGGTGATCGTTTGCAAGGTGATTGTAGACGTTGGCTCAAATCCCTCCGGGTTGGCGGTCTCGTTGACTTGCAAGCGAGCGGATTCCTTGATTGTGGAGTCTACGCTCGTATAGGAAGAGTTAAATTGTAAGGCATGTGTCGTCGACGTTCTGGGTCCAGGAGGGAGGGAGCCTATGCAGAAGCTGTCCGTCAGGATTTTCCAAATCCACCGATGTGCATCGATCCAGCGCCGCACTCTGAGGTTGTTAAAAGAGCGATTCGTTGAAGTCCGAAGACAAGCGTTGAACGTTGAGCTTTTAGCTAGTGCTGTGAGTCGGTGATTAGATACGCGGACGTCGACTTCGCTTGGCCCGCCGACGCGGGAAGCTAGAGTGGAAACAAGTTTAGATCCCAGGAGAGGCGAAGAGAAATGACGAACTCACCCCAATATGATCTCCAGTCGCATCTCACCGGGAGCGACGCATTCACGCTGACGTGCGTCCTCACTGGGCACGAAGAACACTGCAATGATAGATCAGCCCTTTGTGGTTATGACTGTGGGGTGTAAACTCACCGATAACCCAACGTCATGGTATCCTTGCCATCGACGAGATCCCACAAATGGTCCAATCGGTCAGTCATGCTCGGCTTTTCCTTTGGTATTCTTGGAGTCATTGAGTATGTTGTTGTTTTGCGACCTCCCGAATGAACGCTAACCCAAGTTGGACCAACTTGCATACCCTATAAGCGGAGAGAGTAAATTGTGAGCTGCCGAGAGCAGAAACGACAAAGTTCTAATAAGATAGGTGCATGAGTAAGGAAAGAAAGGGAAAACCAAGAAGACGGACCAAAGGAGGGTGAAGAGTCCCGTTGCGAGCGTGAATGGCCTAGTATAACAGGCAACAGTATCTCGCGTTCGTTGAAAAGGGAAGTCATTCTGTCAAAGAATCGGTGTTGTTCTTATTATCGAGGAACGATTCGAGAGACCTACCATGTACACAAAGATTTGTGAATGCCCGTCCTTCATTCCCTGCACAAACCGAAAGGGCAGGAGGGGCTAGTCGAATCCTCCGTCGATCACCAACGGAGGTGAAGGTAGCGGCTACAGGGAATGGAAGTCGAATCTAAATACTGTAAGATCGAAGAACGAGGAAAACGAATGCTTACCCCGGCTGAAAGGACGAGACAGAGCGTGGCGGCTCTTCAAAAAAAGCGCCACCAACGAGGACAGCCATCGCTCTGAATCGCCAACCCCAAACCGTTTCCCTTCTGCTATCCTCCATCCAAGCAAGAACGGGGTAAGCGCATACGGCAGGATTCTGCGCTGGCCTGTATGTGGCTCCATGCGCTCAGAGCTCGACCGTCAAGTGCTTTCTTTCATGGTTTGAGTGGACTTTACGGATCTTGTGCAGCAGCAGCCCAGAGTTGGTCATGGGTAGGAGAAGGGGAAGGGAAGGTCGGAGAGGCGTGAGCCCTTGCCTGTCTTGTTGGGATGAAATCGAGGAGGGCATGACGGATGAGAACGGGGTGTACGTTGCCATGTAGGTCTGTATGCCGGTGTCAGCAACATCTTTTGGAAAAAAAAAAAGAGAGGGGAGAAACGAAGTACGTACTTGAACTTCATCAAAGCCTAGTAGCACACATGCTATTCCTCCCCTTCCATCGTGACGTTCCCTCGAGATGCACTGTGTCTTCTCAGTTTCACAGATGGACCACAATGAGGAAGAGGGCACGATGGCGATAGACGGGGGAAGTTCAGGACTTTTCTTGTTTGGTACTTGGTACACGTAGGCGTCGCGGCGGCTAGAGATGGATTTGTTTATGAAATCTAGAGCGGCATGCCATTGACGATCGGAGAAGATGCGGTAACACTTCCGTGAAGGTGCGGCCTGCCATGAATTCCGTTTGGAAAGCCGGGAAAGAAGTGACGTCGTTATCTACAGAAGGATCATTAGTGAATGGGACGACAACTATGTGTGGAAGATTGACCTACGCAACGACCGAAGCGCATAGCGGGCATTTGAGGACAGAAGCTCACTATGTAAGAGGTAAGAGCTACCGCTGCCGATGAAGTGGCATTAATTTCTGTAACTCGTTTTTTGACACAAGAATGCCCCCAGAGAAAGCGAAAAGGAATGTCGTGAGCAAGGTTGTGAGCAATACGAGCAATGAGATTTTGATGGGATGATTCAAGCCTTTGCCTAGTCTCCCGTAGTCAGCCCCACCTGTGAACCCCACCTATTTGGTCCTATTAGACAGGAACAAGATATGCTTGTTCCTGTCTAGTTCGATCAAAGATGGCTTTTGTAACGCTCTGGGCAATAACTACCAGTAGTGCGTAGGGACTTTATAATAAATTCTTACCTGTGCTCACCGGCAACCATGAATACCAGTCACCGGTGTTTGGCACTTGGCGGCATTGCGCTCCTGCCCATAAAGGGTTCGATGCCATCACGAAGAACCCTTACTCACCGTTGTTGATGGCAACGCGTCGAGCTCGTCGTGCGCAACGCCGACAACGTGTATCCCCCCCAATAATCATCTGTTCCCCTTGCTTTCTTTTGCATTACATAGGTATTATTAGGTAGATAGTAATGCATATGTTTTACTTAGTCCTCCTGGCTACGGGGGCCGTCACCACTCATATCAAGTACACTAAAGCAGGCACCAAGAACCTCAATCTCCTCATCCTCACCAGCCTGCTCCTCATCCAGCTCCTCTTCTAAATCCACTTCATGACTGGGGGTGGTACCTGTAGGGGGAAGGGCCGGGGTCTGAGGCTCCCCTGTTGCATCTGGCTCCTCTGATGTGGTAGAAGCCTCTGCAACATGAGTGCCAAATCCAATGGGACCAGTATAACCATCCAGGAGATAGATCTTCTCCAAGATCTTCAGGTGGTGAGCATTGAAACGGCCCCGTTCCATCCAATGAAGTTTGAGCTGAAGAGCGAGGGCAGGACGAGAGAGCAAGAGCTTGGCTTCTTTTCCTCGAAGGAGAATGTCTTCGTCATGAATATAGGTTGCGAGGCGGGGAACTTCGATGTTCAGCCGCGCAATCTCTTCCTGCGCACGTTCGAGTTTGAACGCCCGGTCAATTGCAAGGCGAGCGGCGGGTGTCGCCCAAGGTTTCCTTCGAATATCTTGACGGGCATCACGGAGGAGATCGAAGTCCGAGAGGAAGGCGTACTCAACGACCTGATCCCAGTTGAGTACCTGTCGAGGTGGCACTAGAGCCAACGCCGCTGTATTGTACCTGTCGAGGGCGGTGCGAATGGCGACAGATCGGGCCTTGAGCGCATTGGCAATGTGTTTACGAAGGCTATAGCCTATCATGTTGCCGTCAGCTGCAGTCATTTCCGAGAAGACAACGTCTTACCTGTCTGGGACCGGTTCATCTTTGTGAGTTCAAACATGCATGCGACCACGAGCCCTTCCAGGACATCGATGCAACGTTGGTATGTCCGCATCATAACCTTCTCTCCTGCTGCCTGCCACTCAAACGAACCCCGCTCCCATCGCCGTGCAATGTTGAGCTTCTTCTCTAGTACCTGGACGGCGGTGAGATCGCGCTTTTGGGTTTCGAGCGCATGGCGGCGGGCTGTTTCATTGGAGGCAGTCATGTCGTGTTCGCCGACATTCGCCTCCGTAAGGTTGGACCAGGCCAAGACAGCCGCTGCAAGTGTACGTCTGTAGATCATAAGTAACAATACAGATCAATAAAGTTTAGACTTACTCGCTGGCGTTGAAATTGAGGAGTAACTTGTAATACTCCATCTCCAGTGTCTCCTCCAGGGGTTCCTTCGAGAGCCCCCTCAGGTATTCCTCCTCCTCTTTCAACCACTCTTTCACCATGACCATGTCCCGTGCACCCACTTTCACCAGTGTGCTGTCAACTGCCGATCTCGTGTCCAGTATCTCGAGTGCTTGTTTATAGTTGTTGAGAAGGAAGGTGCCTAGTGGACAATGATCAGTAATGTCACAGTATGAGGGGCGGCACACGTACTGAGGTTTTGGTAAGTCTCAAAGGTGTCCTTGTGTTTCGCGTACTCCACAATGGCTTGACGGCGGTGGAAGATGCTTGAATATCGGGTCGAGCTTGCGAGGGCGTTTGACAGCGAGAAGAAGCGCTCGCAACCCTCTAAATCCTCCAATCCGAGTCCCTCGACATACGTTGCTAGTAAACATAGCTGGCAGAGGCGGTTGTGGGCGTGGCCATGGAATGCACCGACCAGGCAGGTGTGGTTTGCGGCGCGTGCTTTCGGTCCCAGCGAGCTCTTGTTTATTGTGGTCTTGAAGCGACACCCGATGTCATAGCCGTGGCCAAGGTCAGCCCCAAAGATGTCAATCATCTTGGAGACGATGGCCAGGGGGTACTTGGAGCTTAGATAAAAGGTTAGCGATGAGGTGTGAAGATGGTAACCACAGAAACAACTCACAGTTCGCCGCTGCGCACCATATCTGCCAACACGAGAACAAAACCATGTCGGCAGAGGGCCAAAAATAGGCTGGTCTCTTCGAACATCCCCCACATCTTGGCAGTCAGTTCGGTCTTCATATTGCGCCAGCGTTCGGCACAGGGATTGTCATCGTCATACTCGAAACCCGGGACCTCCTCCATCAACACCTCTTTCGCCCACTCATCTACCTGCTCCCGCGTCAAATAAATGCCACGCCCAGTGGTCCGACTGTCCTTGACTTCGCTCGAAGCCCCGAGGATAGGCTGTGCTACGTCTTCTGTTGTTGCTGGTGCCTCCTCGGCTGTTGGCTCTGGCTCTGGCTCCCTATGAGGGATCCTCTTCATAGAGTCATTGCCGTCTGTGGTGTAAAGCATTGAGAACTTGAGTTTATCTTCATCTTCGAGAATGTAGGTACAGGGGGGACATAAGTGTTTGATGCAGTAGTCGACGCCATCACGTCCTACGGAAGCTTGAACCAATCGGTCAACGGCGGTTCGGATATTGAGATAGAGATCGAAGGCGATGGAGAATTGACGTCGGAGGTAAGGCTTGAATGGTACACAGTGCATGTCGCAGAGGCTTTTGACAAAGGAGTGGATGGAGACATGGGGGCAGCGGAGGTGTGTCAATTGGAAGAGCTCGAGCGCTCGGATGCTGATTGCGGCTATAGGGGAATATGGGGCACATGGCATGAGCCCTTGTCGAATTAATGCGGCACACACGTACACATCTGTTGATAGGTGATAAACTTGGACGTGTCGGAGGCCTGAGATCAGGGGAAGGGTGAGTAAAATAAAAAGAGAGAGTGGCGAAACTCACGGTACACGTCGACTTCACAGATGGTTGTTGTTGCCTGGACTTCAGCATTGGGAGGCAATACATACTCTCCTGAATACCCATCCTCTCCAAGTTGAAGCATCCACCCCATGTAAGCCTCTATCAGTGCTGGGAGCTGGATATTAAATGCGTCGACGCGTCGTTGTGTTCGATCCCTACGTGTACGGTAGTCACGAGTGCGGGGTCGTCTAGCATGGACTCAGAATGTGTATGATAGTACAGAAATGGTGGTTTTACCTATTTGGTGGGCCCAGTAATTCATCTGCAATATCCACAAGTGCGGTGAATTCCCCCCCTGCATGGCTAATGTCTATTGTTTCCGCTCCCGCAAGAATCACATTGACATCCATTTCCCAGGCATCATGCTCAATGTTGCTGTCGTCAACGCTTCTACTGCCGCTGTCGTTGGTGGTGTTTGTACGGATTGCCTCCAACTCATCTCTTTCCACTGCGGACATAGCATCCTGACGAAGGGCGTGGTCTATGCGATCCTTGGCCTGCCTCTTGTGAATGGCCGTGGCATTTAGAACCTCTTGTCGTAGGCTGGTGCGACCGCTAAGTGACCGGGAGGTGTATAGGTGGTGGACATGTACGGAGGATGAAGTGCCAGAACGCTTAGTTTTCCTGGACCCAGGGGGTTTACCGAGCGTCATGTAAAGGGTGCTTTGAGGGTGCTTTGAGGGTGCTGGGTGCTTGTTGTCATGTCACGTGCAATCAGTTAGAGATTAGTAGAGGCAGACAACCTCCCCTCCCTCTCTCGTTTAGCCCTTTAAGTACTTGTATATATAGCAAGTGCATTAGGGGTACATATAACAATAAATTTGTGAAAGAAAATATTGTGCCCGTAGACCTCAACATTGCAAATGTGTACGTAGATCTGTAATGGCCATATACTTGTACTTGTGGGCTGCGGGCCATTGCTTCGCATGGCAATACGAGTCCTGGTTTTTTTAACTACCACAACAAAAGCTCCAACTACAAACCATGTCAGCGAACCACCGAGTTACAATCAAAAAGCGGAAATCGAATAGTAATCTACTGTCAAAGACCGCCATGACCGCGAATACTTACAGTGAATAAACAAGACCTCAATAAAAGTCACGTGATTTATGCCAACGTTGCAAACTTCCCTCGCTTGTATTTGTCTTCCTAGATCTCTGAAGCTCTCTCTACAAGGGAAGTGCTAAGGCATGTTGCTACGGCCGGTTTCTGAGTGGATGGTCTGCCGCGCGCCGCTTGCGTTACTCTGGACTTACCGTGTGACCTCGAGGGTGTGGCCGCTGTCTTCTTCACCTCCCAGTAGCAAATTGATGGCCGCTGCTCCTCTCCTCGCAAGATATGAAGCCTTTTAATTGGTGCGTTTTCAGTCTGTCTACTCTCTTTCAAGTCTTCTTGAGAGTCTTGTACTGAAATTATGCTTGCTTTCAGTCGCTCTCCGTCCTTCAACA